CCCCAAAACCCCAAAACCCCAAAACCCCAAAACCCCAAAACCCCAAAACCCCTATTTCAAGGAAAATAATCGAAATATAATAAAAATGAATCTGAAGAGCCAGGGAGGTGCCTACACAAGTTTTTCAAAAAGAGCTCCTCTGCTGAACAATACAGACAGGAGCTTGCTGGAAAGGTAAAGAGTTTAAGGAGACTTATAGGACTCTTCATGACGAATCATTTGAGAAATTGGAAAGAACGATTCTGAATCCCAACCAAACTGAAGGTAATATTGAGGGTGAAGGCAAACAGGATATCCCCTTGATTGAGAAAATAACTCTTGGTCCTATTGAGAAATACCAAATGTGGAATAGGTAAGGTGTTTAACGAGAGGTCGCCTTTATAGGTATCCTTGGAAAATGCTAATCCATATTTTACTCATTGTGATGACCACTCTTCAAGTCTTGGTTACAATACAGGCAGATACTAGCTATTCCCGGACCCAGTCAAGAGTCATGGACAGGATTTTTCTAACACCTGAGGGTGAAACTGATGATCTGTCCGATAGAAGAGAGCGGTATCTTTTCAATATAGAAGAACTCCAGAATTTCATTAAAAGCTCTGTGGAAAACTATTACTCACTCAATGATAGACTCCTCGAGAACTATAGCTATTTCCTTAATGAAGAGAATAAGATCCAAGAGGTCGAAGTAGATGTAGTAATGACAGAGGGCAAGACTTATTCTCTAAAACACAACTATTTTCACCTTAATGAGACCCACCTGGGACCCTTTGGACTACCTAATAAAGAGCTAAAAACATTCTTAAAAGATGTGGAAAAGATAGTCTTAGGTTATTCTTTTCAAAACGAACTTCCTGAGAAAGCAGCTCCCAATTTCAACTGATATGTCTGGAATCTTGTCCAGAAGCTAGATTTTGAAGATAGAAGCCATATCCAGGTCCGATTGATGCATGAAAGAGATGTCTGAGAAGATGCAAGAAAGTATAATTGGGGAAATTACTACTGGATCCATTACTGAGTCCTACTACTTTCGATCATTTCATTAATCGCTCATTGGCAATACATTGTAGCTGTTAGTCAAACATATGATAAATTAAGATCTAAATTTGAAAGGAAAAATCTTAGAAAAAGCCTCTACGAAGGATTGAACAAGCAGAAAGCAAAAATCCAAAGAAAGAACAAAGAATATAGAAGGCAGCTTAGTGAACTAAGTGGACCTAGTGGCCATCAGAACAAGTCAGGCTACATTGGGGATGCCAAGCCTAAAGGAGAGCGTAGCTTCCTTGAAACCTCAGGAATCAGTAAGCACGATAGTTTAATATATTTTAGTTAATCAGTCTCTCAACAAATCTCTCCCTGATGGAAATGAGCAATCGATGGCAGTTAAATGGAAGCATTTATCCATAAAAGAAAAGATAAAACTGTTCAATCCATGGTGTATTGGGATAATGTTTGCTAATGTATTCCAACTTGTAGGAGCTACTTCAGTACTATTTTCTCATTCGATAACACTATCTTTCAATGAACTCCTGATAGGCTTAGGATGCTTCGGAGCGTGGATTGGCATCCTCAGATTTATTGACACAGATACTAAATTATACAGTGCTCCGAGAACAATCAAGACAGCTTTTCCTATTATATTCAGAATTTTGGTTGGGGTCATTCCGATATTCATCGGGTTTAGCTTTTTAGGAATGTGCTTATTTTGGAGATCTGACAAATTCAAATCTCCTTCAGATACGTTCTTCAGCCTGTTTGCAATGATGTATGGTGATGCTATTAGAGATATTTACACAGATGTCAGCTTTGGAAAACATCTTGCTGCTAATTTGTATTGCTACAGCTTTGTTTTCTTTGCCATCTGTGTGGTTCAAAATATCTTTATTATTGTAATGCAAGAATCATATTTTACCGCAAGAAAATATAACCTTGAGGAGGATTTATTTGGTATCCACAAAGAAGCAGAGGAACGAGAAAGTACTAAATCCGTAGCTGCAGTTGAAGCAAGGCCGAAAACTACAAAATCCAAACAAACTCTCATGAAAATCTTAGAAGAAGACCGATACAGTATGGAGAGCTCCAACAAGCTGCCTCGCTCAAAATCCGGCTTTATTGATCATTGCTACCCTCACATAACCTCACTCCCTGAGAAGGAAAGGCAGCTATCCACAAATCAAACTAATAACATTACCACTGTAAGCTCTCAAAATAATCCATAGAAATCAAAAGAAATCATGAGGCTGATAAATGAGCTAAAGACCCACGTTCAGCAAGAAATTAAATCTAACCCTTCAAACAAAAAAGAGATCAAGAAAAACTTCGATGATGCCATAAAGAAGATCAAGGACAAAATAACTCAATCCTGAAATTTGATTAATATCTCTTAAATGACTCTCCCTCTAAATATCCTTCTGCTAATTAAGAAAATCCTAGCAATCTACAAAATAAACCCCTACAATCTTCACTAACCTCAACCCAATCATCTCCCCAACCCCCAATAACCCACTTACATCCCCAATCCCCCCCAACCCCCAACCCCCATTTCTCTCCTCCACCAAAAACACTAACTTTCAAGCCCACCACCACCTTAAGGGGTTTTGGGGTTTTGGGGTTTTGGGGTTTTGGGG